CAGACACAGACACACACATACACACACGCGCACACACACGCACGCACGCACGCACGCACGCACGCAGAGAGACACCCACACATACCAGAGAGAGAGAGAGAGAGAGAGAGAGAAGGAAAGAAAGATCGAAAAGGAAATAAAGACGGTGAGAAAGAGAAAAGGGGGAGAGAGGAAGAGAAAGAAGCAGGGAGAAAGCGAAGAAAAGAGAGACCGACAGACAGACCGACAGACAGACCGACAGACAGACAGACAGACAGACAGACAGACAGACGCACTCACGCACACGCACGCGCACGCGCGCACACACACACACACACACACACACACACACACACACACACACACACATCGAATGGTGCATGTCATATATAGTTTACTGTACAAACAGCAGAGAATGCCATCGCAGTGCCTTCCCTTCGACCAACGATGCGTTTGTCAAATAAAACCTTAAACATTTCCGCCGTGCAGAACTCAGCATACACTTCATTTGCCTATACGCTACAGCCGGTCGCGCACGCATGCACGCACCCACGCACAGCACGAACACACGCATGCACGCACAGCACGAACACACGCACGCACGCACGCACACAGTTACACACACTTGCCTTGATTCGTTCCATCTCGGCGTTCGCTTCCTCCGACTCCTTGCTCTCGGATAGCTCACCGCTGTTCGGTGGTGGCGAGTGTGTCACGCTGTCGCCATTCTCCTGCGAAACGAAGCGACAGCGGCTGCGTTATACAGAGCGAGTCGGCGACCGAGACAACATGCTGCAGAGCTAAATGACACACAGTGCGTCGGCCTCGATGCGAGTGTCGCATCCGTAGTCTTGCGACAACGTCGGAGCACTGCGCGGCCTCGCTCGCTATACGTGAGCGGCTCGCGTGCACACACTCTAATGCATCCTGATAATCAATGAGCGTAAACAGTGGGTCGACTTTCCCTCGACCGCCTGCTGCGGATGGAACAATCAGGAGCAGCAGGAGCAGCAGCAGCAGCATCTTTGGATCCAGCAGGGGAGCTGGCGCTACGCCTCCTGTCTACTCAAACCTCAAGTCTCCTGCATACAGACTAGTCTATTATTATTCACTCCTGGCCTAGTGGACGGACCGGGATGGGGGTGGAGTAGCGAGGTCACGAACTGCAATATTCTCTGTAGAGAGTTGTCGGAGTTGGAAAGAGTCACTATCATAAAATCGTTCCTAAACCCGCGGTGAGGCGAAAAATGGAGACCGAGAACCCACTCGCAAAGACAAATTTTCATTTCATTGAAATGGCAACCGTTAGCAGACGTGACCGCCATCTAATAGCTACAAATCACACAGTGCAATGTCTTTCCACTCCGCTGTCTACCCAAACATTGACGTACCGATGTGACTACAGTATGTAGATCTAGGACAAAACCACTTGTTCAGCACGTAGCTCATATATCATCGAGTACGTTACCACCGCTAAGCCAAGTATCAGCAATGACCTATCTATCGTGTTAGCATTTCCCCTGAAGAACCCATGGTCCGCATTCAACCAGACAGCGTTTTGTAACGTCTGCTCGACGTTCAAGCACGTATATCACTATCAGGAGTTAATGAGACAAAGTCTTGTCTCATTAACTCCTGATCACTATCCCCACAGCCACACACACCCAGGGTACCCACACACGGTCATACTGACCATACACGTACACGCGCAGACACACGCGGACACACGCACACAGCAATACACACACGAGCACACACAGCCATACACACCACACATACACGCACACACGCACGCGCACGCACACGCACGCACACACACACGCACGCACGTACGTACGCACGCACCCGCAACCAGCAATACACACACAGCCATACACACCACACATACACGCACGCGCACGCACACACACACGCGCACGCACACGCACGCACGCGCGTGCACACACACACACACGCACGCACGCACGCACGCACGCACGCGCACACAGACTGGATGACTGCAGCACGCGGCTGGCGATAAGCGCTCTTCATGTACGCCCCTTACAGCGGCGAGCGCGCGACGCGACAAGATCGCAAAATCTAATACAGCTTTCCATCTTATATCTGCATGAATTTTCACCTCGCTGCACACGCGCGCGGCGGCGGCGGCGGCGGCGGCGTCGACTCACGCACCGTTACCCAACTCATCTAACTCTATCTCACCGCATGTACGCAGTATGTCTGAGGATGTATGCCGTCACTGTCACCGTCACCGTCACCGTCACCGTCACCGTCACCGTCACCGTCACCGCCTGTACGCAGTATGTCTAAGGATGTATGCCGTCACTGTCACCTTCACCGTCACCTTCACCGTCACCGTCCCCGTCACCGTCACCATCACCGTCACCGTCACCGTCACCGTCACCGTCACCGTCCCCGTCCCCGTCACCGTCACCGCCTGTACGCAGTATGTCTGATAATGCATGCCGTCGCCGTCACTGCCCGTACGTAGAATGAGCATTCATCCCTTCATGCCAGAATGACCCACTCCGACCTCTTTGACCCACCGCAATATATTACACGCTGCGATTTCTATTTAGTACAGCTAGGTCCGCAACACGTTGCTGTGCGGCTTGCCTGGCCTGGGGCACAAACAGGGAAAGCATGTAAACCGTCACTCAGAGCAATCAGAGCGCAAGGTGGCTCACAGCGATCCCCGAGCAAGGTGGCTTAATATAACGTCACCGCCAAAACGCCCACGGCCGTAAACGTCCATCATCTCGGTGATACGGACCGAAACACGATGGAATAACACACTATGCCGCTCACGCATTCGCATCGCTGCATCATGGTAAAGGCTGGCTGCGTATTTTACGACTGCTCTCCTAAAGCTTTCGCTGACAACACAAACTGCGATGGATGCAAGCATAAATCAGTATTGCAGATCGATGCGAAATCGGTTGGCTGAACGTATTCGCGAGGGCTGACATATATCTACCGGATCAACTAGAGGCGATCGGCGTCCGCGGACGGCAGGAGAAGCCGAGTGGCAGGAGAAGCCGAGTACCTACCGTAACAAGACACCATTATCAAATAATAAGACACTACACGAATCAGTCGACGACCAATGTCGCGTCCCGTGTAGCTAGCTCGCTGGCCACAAGGGCGCGGATAGCAGTAGACCGCGGCGGCCATTTCGCCTTGTGTTCTACAGAAAAGGGAACAGCTTGCAACTCTAGAGCGTAACTTTAGAGTTGAATTCGGACCTGGACTCTAATAACGTAATGCCGTAGAGCCCATACGGCTACGGCTAGTCTCATTAAAACATTATCATATCATTACGAAATTTAGAAGGAGAAAGCATGAAAGGTCTTCATTTGCATAATCATTCTATCGAATTATGATAGATATATACGATAGTAAGGATTTCAGTTACTTAAAATTTCAGTTTTAGTCCACTCTTAGTGGTGAAAGGGTAGCATGGGATTAGTCAGTTACTGAAGATCACTAAAGGGAATATTCCATTCTCTTCTCAGGAAAATGATAAAAATACACCAGTTTCCCTGCAGTTCGTGTCCATTTGACTAACTGCAGGAATGAATTGAAAAGAACAAATTATAGGCTATTTACGCAGGTTCTGTAAATTCAACTCTAACATAGCCGCTGGGCACACTGTTTTCAACATGTCTGTTTACGTGCAGGCAACTGATCCAACATGTCTGCTTACGTGCAGGCAACTGATCCAACATGTCTGCTTACGTGCAGGCAACTGATCCAACATGTCTGCTTACGTGCAGGCAACTGATCCAACATGGTCTCCTGTCTTCTATCCTGTCCATCCATCTGTATTATTAGAGTATTATATATATGAGGTATACATATTATGTATTAATAACCCTCTCTCCTTCTGACGTGAAGTTAATAGTGTTTGCCTA